TATAGAACGTGTATTTAGCACTAATAATTTCATACAGCCAAGACAAAAATGTGCATTTAGGGAGGTATTGCATTTATAGAGATTGCATTTAGGGAGGTTTGACTGTATATTGATAAAAATAATTACTTGAATAATTTTTTTCAGCTATATTATTATTATTATTTTCACTTGATTTTCATCGATTTTCTCGTGATTTAGTTAAAATAAAATCATTTTTTGTCAGATGTAATACTAAATTGCTAGCCTTATTGATGTTAAGCTAATTTAGAACATTTTTTTCATTATTGTTTTTAGAATAAGCATTATGACATTGACGTAAGTTCAACAAGAATTCAATATTTAATGAATCATTATCTAAAGTAAACCCAGATCTAGAATCTATAAAGATAAAATTCTAAATTATTTATATAAAATAAAACTTAATATTAAAAAATAAATTATTCACTACTCAGAAACTACAGAATTTTTGAATCTGTTCTACAAGTATTTTGCAAGCCCCATAAAGTTTTTCTAATAAAAGTTTAAACTCTGGATCTAAATTAACTTCTTGGTTTCTATTCATTTCAGATATTGTATCACTTATACAATAAGAAACAGATAAACTACTATCTGTATTATCTTTATTATTATTAGCTATTTCAAGATTTAAATCTTTATTCCAAAAATCTTCAAGTTGTGAAGTAAAAAATTTCTTGTAGATATTAAAATAATAGGTATCGCTAGACATAGAATTTATTTCTAAATATCTTGATAAATAAATAACTCTTTTATAACCAATATTAATTGCATTATCAATTTTAATATTAGAGGGCCAATAGCGTAAATACTCAAGATTATTGTTCAAAAGGTTAATTTTTTCATATTCATTAAAACTATAATCTAGAACAAGTTGAATAAGTTTTAAATCAAATAAGTAATAATGATATGTGCAAATATATAGATATTTTTTTTGACAATAATCTATGAGATATCAAGAGAAATTAGAACTTCAGTTTATTATTAATTATTTATTTAATCAATGATAAACAGAAGTTCTATTTTTTTTGGTAATACTCTACAGTATTACTATATACTATAAGGCTATTCTCAAAGCAAAGACCCATATGATT